CCATAAATTTAAACCGACAAGGAGTATTTTGCATCGTAGTCTTGTTACTTGCTCTGCATTTGTGCTTCAGGTTGCTGTTTGTTTACTCGGTCGACGTCATGACTTCGTTCGCGCGTGATTTGGCCTTGAGCTTCTCCTACTTCATTGTCTTACGACTACTTCCAGTTTAGCGGGTCATGGCCAAATTAGTCTGAGCTTGGAAAGTAGAGCAACCTCATTTTGGTGGGCTTTGGATGTTGCCTTCACGGCTCGGCGGCTGGGTTCATGTTTTGTGTGGTCTTTTTCTGAATGATGAATGCTTTCGTCCAGTCGCTCAGCCCCGGTCTGAGCCCGAGCCGGTTCCACCCTACCTGCGAGTTTCGAGCCACTGTGTCGCTCTACCGGGCTGCTGGAATTTCCGCGGGAAAGCAAACCTTTGATAAGTCCACCTTTTTGGCGCGGGGTGCACTGAGGGCGAACTTGCTTTGCCCTCCGCCCATGTCTGGGGTTCACGGCCTCGGCGGCGTAACCTGAAAATCCAGAAGCCTCTGTCGCTCGATGGCCTGAAAGATGCACCTGGGGTTTTCGTGGAGGCCTTCGTGAGCATCCTGCTGCACTCCGCCTCGGGGTCTGGCTTTCTCCGCACAGGCTTTGCCAAGGAGGACACGATCTTGGTGAGCTGGAGACCGGCCGGGTTCTCGCAGATCGTCGAAATCGTCCTGCTCGAGGTCGTCCAAGGGAGGAGCGGCTGTGACCTCTGATGCGGTCTCGCGGGGCTCTTTTGTCCTTGGGTGCCAGCACCTTGTCCGGCGAAGTGCTCGTCCGAGACCTTCACCAGCGCCTAGGCATACAGCGGGACCTTCTAGCTGAAGGAGATAGTTTGCCACATCGCCCCCAAGCTTCGTGCTCCAGAGGCAGACCCGACGACCCTAGCATCGCAGTACAAAGCACAGGAGAAAAGCGTTGAAAGAGACGGCACGCCGAGGCCACTTCCGGGCAAGAGTTGCTGAACTCACCATGGCATGGCAATGCATGGAACAGGGGAGCTGGAAGGGGCCGGCGATGAACCAAGGCCTCCAAATGCTCCCACCCAGCGACCTAGTGATCATGTCATGATCATGTCCCAGCAAGCCTGCTATGCAATCGAAAATCAGAAAGCTTCCTCTGAGACTCTGAGCAACGTAGGTACTCAAAGGGGCTCCGATCCGGGAACTAAGGGCCTGCTCGAGGATTCGCTTTTGAAGCGCGATTGGCTGGTCCAAGCGGCGCGCGCACTGTCATAAGACTCCGAAACTCGGGTCAGGCTCGGCAATCTTGGTCCGACAAAGCCTGCCGAGCTTCGAGCGCTTTTGAGGTCTGAGATGGGCATTCGGTGCATGCAGACATCTGCCCTCGAAGCGGGGTACTGGTCAGCGCCTGCGTCGTCTTACGCTATGGCGCTCGGATAGCGCGGAAATCTTACCACCCAAGCCCCAAGCCTAACAACTTGTCCTGTTGCCAAATGGAAAGAGGCCTGAGGACCCCAAAAGGGTATGTTCAAAATGACGCACTCCAGAGGCAAAGCGGCCGTGAAATCAGCAGTGATGTTTCATTTCGGTAACTTTGAGGCTCTGGTGGGGAAGCAGGTCCGGCAGTCCTTCCGGCCGCCTGCTTGAATTGCTTGAAGACCAGTCTGCCTCTGCGAGGGAAAATCTGTCATACGCGGCACTTTTCGACCTCGCCTCACCTCAACAGTGACTCATCGACGCAATTCGGTGTTCAAACTCCTGCTAGAGGACCGACCTTTCAGCACCCCCGAGCAACCCGCGAATCACCACCGATACCAGCTCTCGAACTCTTTTCTCTCAGCCTTGACGCTTTTTCGGCGTGCAAGAGGGAGTGCACCGAATGCGTCTCTCCTCGCTGCCGATTGTTCCATCTTAGAGCGCGAAATACATCACGATCGCCGCCCGCTCCGCTGCACGAGGAGGCAGCACAGCAATGGTCAAGAGCCCGTCTTGCAACTTCTGCCCCATCGCGAGAACCGCAGCTTGCGGCCTACCATGCATCACCTCGAAAATCTCTTCGGCATCGTCAGGAAAGTGAACAACGCTATGAGGCCACCCGCTAGCACCTCAAGCAGCGAGACACTCATAACCCCGATCTGAGAACTACTTTTCAGCAGCGGCATCAAGCAGCAAGCCCCACGCGGACACTGTCCTGACTGAGCTCGTCTTTCTGCAGCTGCCAGCAGACCCTTGACTGGCCGACAGTGACCTGCTTACAACTGCTGGTTTGTTCCTCGACATTGTGTCTAGTTCGAGTGAGGTGGAAAAGATCCTCGCCGCCGTCTTCTGCTTTTCCGCTCCTCCACTTGTCCGTTCTTCTTGTCGTCCTGTGCTTTTCCTATTCTCTGTTTCCTGCCTTTCCAGTCTCATCCTGCCGCGCTTCTTTGCTTTTCAGCGAGTGGCTGCGCTTCCGCTTTTCTCCTGCCCCGCTTGTCTGCTTCTGTGCGTTTGCTTTTGCCTTTCCGCTTCTCTGCTTCTGACCTTTTTTGTCTATCACATTTCTGGTCTCTTCCGGCTCCGCCTTCTTTGGAGCTTTTCGCCGCCTCCCATTGTCCGCTTCTGCGCTCTTCCTCGGCCAAACATGAATTCCAGCGTTTCCGAAGCCAAAATGTGGTCCATGCATTGTAGTTTACAGTGAACTCGGCTCTCGGGGGCACACGGATCTTATATAAATTCCAGGACCGCGAGAAAATCTGTCGCACTCCGCAGCCGGAAGTTCGTCCCAAAATTAGCCTTGTCGTCTCGCGCCCCCCCAATAACCACAAGTCATCACAAGTCACAAGTCTCTGTACTCTTGATGCAACCCCACAACTAGTGCTGGGATTGGGGAAGATTCGGGACCGTGGCCAAAATGCTGTCCCCCCACGTACCAGCGGATCCCGCAGCCTCCCCCCAGTATTCACGAGTCATTAATCTCTGTACTCTTGACGCAACCCCTGAGTACTGATGGTCTTCTCAGTATCGGCAAATCCCGGAGCACGGCCGAAATGCTTTCCCTCGGGCACGGGCAGTTCCAGCAGCACGACCGGGCCTGCCTAAACAAAACACTCTTCAGAAAAAATACCAACATAAATTCTGCAGCCAAAACCCACTTCAACAACATGTCATGCGTTGTTCGGCTCAGTTTTGCTGGCTTCCTCACATAGCAGAGTTTCTTTTCTGCATATTGAATGGCATATTGTCGTGGAGTTCCATAACCAGAAAAGCATTATAAGTTTAAGCCCTTCCCCTTTTCTTTCCCTTCCTCTCCTCTTCACCAGCGGCTGGCAACGGAGGGAGGCGGGGAGGGCGGGGGAAAAACCCAGGCTCGCAGAATCTCGCAGAAGGAAAAGCGAGTTCCGCACAAGGGGGGACATGTCAGCATAAGGACAATCGGGCGTTTGAGGGGAAAAACCCGCAGCATTAGAAGAAGCATGTCCAATCTTTGAGGTGCTCAAGGAGTTCGCCCACCGGGAGTGGCCGAGCGATCCAGAAGCTGTGGCCCAAGAGTGTCCCTTTTTGCCAACATCGCAAAGAACCTGCTCCATTCTTTCCCCGCTGGACGCCTTCTTGCAGTGTGTGCAAGAGAGTCGCACACAACCATTATGGATGTCCGGGCCTTTTCGTGAGTTGGAAAGAAGCAATCAAGAGGGTCAATGTGTCGGTCAGCGGGTTTGTGTGGCCGTGCGCGCTTTGGCATGCACGGTCGACATGCTGCAAATGTTGATGGCCACCATGGTACTGTAATATTCTGAATCAGTACGCCCGCACACATACGCAGTTCGCCCCAGCGATACACGAATCAAAGCATTCGTGTCAGTTCCGGTGTCATTTTGCCATCTCGAGGCATATGCTGCCTTGACCCGCATGCTGACGGCGGACTTGAATACCAGCAAGGTGCAGATCCAGACCATATGTAGAACGTGTTCCTGATTTGTCAACTTGCTGTATGTCGCTGCCATGTATGCAGAATAGCATCGGAGCATCGGTTTGGTCTGCAGCTCTCCGTCCTTGTTGCATTCTTTTGCAACTGAATGTTTGATTCCTTCGACTGGATTCGGCATCGACTCGAGACAAGCTCTGTCTGTCTATGTTGACGCTCAAAATCATGAGTTCGGATCACGATGTTGGAATGGATGGCTAAGAAGCTCGTGGACCCAGGGCGAGGATGAGAGGCGAAAATCCTTCACAGAAAGCTTCTGGAGGTGGGTGGGCATGCTGTTACATGTGTTCACATGTTCATGCGCACCCCATGTTGTTGTCAGGAGACACCTCGTCACTCGGCCACACTCCCGAAAACGGATGCTTTGGGACCTCTTGGGTCTCGTCCTGGTTATATGGGCGGCTTGTCTGACACACTTTCAGTCCGTAGGACGACACAGCGGAAAAAACTTGTCGACCGAGTCAGCATTACCCGACTTCCTGCTGGGCCTACTCAGGACATATTTGCGATTCCCATGAACGCATTCGAGCAGCTTGGCCTTTGTGCAAACTGCATGCCAGTTCTGGGTGTCAGTATGCAACAATACAAGCCCATCATTCATAGTCACGAGCAACCATCGTGGTGCATTGAAGGTTGACAGATATTGCCGTCCTGACAGTCGTGAGCCGGTCTCCAAGATGGCAGCTCGCAACGACAACGAAGCGTTGCTCCGGATGCAGATTCATGGAAGCAACCTGCAGTGCCAAGACTGGACGAGCACCGTGTTCTGGACCATTGACCTTCCGACCAACTTCTTCAACAGCCACGTGCTGAGACTCCCGCTAAGTTCGTATCACGCTTGGCTCACAGCCTTCCTGCCCGCCACTGCCCGCCGGTGAATGCCAGAAGCAGGTAGCAGACGTTAGCAGACCTGAATTGGAGATTCTTCCTCTCAGTTGTGGATCTGATACTGGTCTGTGTTTTGTGTGGAAAGGCTTGGCATTGACAGTGAGTGACTGTGGTACCCTTCTTGCGAACCTTGGCTCGAGCGGTGCCATGTGGCGTGTGATCAGATGCCATCAGTGAAGGCGGAATATTTCTGCAAGAGGAAGCGAACCGTCGGCGTATGTGTTGAGTAACCCATTGCAGATCTGTGAGCAAACAGCATTGTCAAGCGCTGTCAGTATGCAGAGTCTTGAGAGGACTTTGTACTGGACACTTTGTGCAGGTACAAACCAGGACTGGCATCTACGTCATCACAAATGCCCTCACAGACCACCTGAAAAAACACACACAAGCCGCTGCCTAAGTTGCAGCGCTCCGTCGCCTCGCAAGTCTGGGACCCAGGTGCCCTGCAATTAGTTTCATCTGGGATCCCGACTAAAGTTAGGGGAATCGAACTTGCGAAAAATCACGTGATACTTCGGGTATACAAGGACTCAGTTGTACAGTATCATGTGAGGACGCCTGTTTGCATACAGTATGTGACGGATCTGCGAAGTTATCCTCACAAGAAGGACCAGGGTATTCATGCTCACCTGTGAGCCGTCAAAACCTGTAATTTTCCTGGAGAGTGGCTTGGCTTGCCATGCAGCACTTGATTCACCAGCACCTGAAAGAAGCACGCGCTCGGGACAAACCCTACAGTGGTGTTCTTGACGCACCAATTCGGCGAATGTGCAGCCAGAGCTTGTCTGCAGACGATTCCTGAAGCTGTGCAAGAAATTGCAGGTGAGGACAAGCAAGTTTGCAGAAATTTCCTTGAAATCAGTCTGTTCTTGAGAGATACAAACAGCACATTTAGAGGAGCCCAGAGACGAAGTAGTGCTTTCTGTAGGCGGTCGGGCCTGATTCAAACAGCTTCAAAACTTGGGCTTCCTGCCGGACAGGTCTTTCCGGGGAGCTAGGCTTCAGCATGCCTTCGTCCTGTCCAAGAGGGCATGTTTCGGCAACTTAGCAAAGCTGGCAAATGCTGGCAAGCTTTCTTGATCAAGGGTGGCAACACCGGCTTTGGAGCAGAAGATTCAAGTGTGCCCCTTGAGACCCTTAGTCCTTTAGTCCTCTGGCTTCTGCGCAGAAGTGTAGTTCTGAGCTTCTCCACGGGGATGTCATCGGAAGTTGGACTTTGCCTGAGGTTGCAGTGGAAGCCAACGGCATCAAGGTGCCTCCGTTTTGCTGCCGATAGTGTTTTGAAGTAAATTGGCGAGAGGTTTGCTCTAGCGATTATCTGTGCTAAGACTCTCCCGACAACAAGAAATTCGCCTGCGACAGAGGAAGACATGCAAATTAACATGTATGCATGTATCCGTGGAATGGACCTCGTGTAATATCAAGGTGTTGTAATGTTTGTACAAGCCAGTCGGTAGGTACTGTGGGAAATGCCAGAAGCTTCCAGCTTTCCGCGCTAGCATGCAATGGCAAGGTCCTGGAAAAGACGCTGCGAGCTGTAGCTATGTCCTCTGCAGACCTGCAGAAGTCCACCGGCTTTCTGCCAGGCTCCTGCAAACTGTGATGTGTTCACTGCGGTGAGCCTTTGCCAATCTTTAAGCTGCACAGCCCACTTCTCTTCGGCCCATGCTGTCCATTATCGACAGGCTTCGGCTGGTTGGGACTTCGACTGGATCGCTTTGATGCAGTCCGTCCTGATGCGCCATGCCTTCTGCGTGGGCTTGCTCAGTGCAGCTAGCAGCACGGGCAAACCTCACAGACCACGGTGGATGGCTGACCCAGAAGTTTTTGTGGCCGGAATGAAATCCCAATCCGGAGACCCTCCCACAACCGCGCCTCAGAGCCCGAAATGAGCATGCTTCGGTCCTATTTCCCTGTGTGCGACCGGACTCGTTGTCAAATAGTTGTCAACAGGTAGACCAGAACACGGTAGTCGGCCAGGGATTGGATCAATAAGGCTGGCAGAAACAAGCCACAAACAAGCACCAAATAAGGCCCAAGTAGGGTCGGAGCAAGTCCAAACGAAGGGCCACTACAAGGAAACTGCACCTGTTCCCAAACATGCATTACAGTGTGGTCCCCCGTAAAAAAACAGGCATTGACGGAGACGGTGCTCTTCTTGGTCTTGGTAGCTAAGTCACTAGTCATTGATTGTTTCTCAAAGATTCCTGCCTGCATCATGAGAACATGGCAGGAATCTTTGCGTGTAGCTTCACCCAAGAATGTCGTACTGCCGTGTGTGGAGATATGTTGACTGCTGCAGCTCAGCGCGATGCCGTGTTTAAGATTGTCTGTCTTTCTCGCAAGATGGGACATACACTTGCACGACTCGGACTTCTCCGTACACACTTTGCAATCGAGAATTGGAGCACGTTCGCCCCGCTTCAGGTGGCCAGGTGGGGCGTCTGCTGGAGCCACCCATGATCAGTGAGGACACGGTCATCAAGGCAAGTCTTGCATCCGCTCCCGTCCTTTGCCCTCTTTTTGAGTCGAGGTGAAGAAGACTGTTGACACCGAGAGCCTTGCGGAGGACTTCATCGAACAACTGACCGATGGTGACGAGATCTCTGCAGCGCGCCTCGGGCGGCAGTGGTACGCAGCGAGCTGAACAACGTTCGATGTCAGTCGGGTGACGAACCACCTTTTAACTGCACCGTGACACCCTGCAGTCCCTGCATTCGATGACCTGAAAGCATGGAGTTTTTTCCATCGGTTCTCTGAAAAGAGTATGAACTGGCACGAAGGATTGAAAAAACAGCGAACCGAAGGCCCTGAGCAGAGCATCGCAGAGCTGGAGGCAGAACCCAAACTTGAAACTTCTAAATCCACACAGCAAGGTCGCGGATGTCATCGAAACAGCAGGTTAGGGCTTGCCATGGCTTGATGAAGCACACCAAGAACTCTCACAAGCCCCAAACTGAGTCAACACCGAAGAGATCTAGGTCAAAGGTATCATCCAAGCCATCCTAAGCTCGATCGTCCGATCAGTCCAGATGTAGCAAACGACTTGCATGTTTTGGGCTGTAGACAAGGATCGCCACTCATCGCCTCATGCTCTTTTCCAACTGGGACGCGAGAACATCGCAGAGTGCGACCACATTTCCTCTTTCATCCTAGGTAGTCTTGCATCATCTTGTGTCGACATCCCTTTGAATCCGCCACGCTCGTTTGCCCAAGTGACAGCCTTCCCTGTGAATGGCAAGAGCGTGTTGATGGCAGCTAGTTGCTTAGGCCACATCTTAAGTCCCGAGACAGGTTTGGAACGGCACAGAGAAACGTAGGGAGCCGTTCTGCTTGTGACCTCCAATATTCGCAGGTGCTTGGACATCCGAAAACGGGTTGCGAGGTTTCGTTGCGGGCTTCGACAATTTCGATCATTGGTTTCTTGACTCTTCTTGCAAGGACTCACCAACTGCCCTGTCAGTCTACGTAAGTTTTTTAAGCTTCGTCTTTCTGATTCAAGCATGCTCCTCTCGGTTTAGGAAGTCTTGTCGAGTGCGACGTCTGAGGACGCAAGCACGTGCAGTCAGCTGTAGGCTGGGGTTGCCATAGCAGTGCATCGGAGCACGGAAAGCTTAAACTGCGACGGGAGCTAGATCAAGCTTTGTCTTTTGCTGCAAGCGCAGCTTTCAGCATGCTGTTGTTACGTGTGGTATGCCGGCAGCACTGGGGCCGAGGTGTGCTCGCTTTGTAGGCGAAGCTGCTGCTGATCGCGTGCTTCAAGCAGCGCAGATTGCACAAGGGCAACTGCAGCAGGAGCACTTGTCCGTTGTTTTGCCGGCACCGGACAGCGGCTGTACCCACAAATTGTTCATGTACGTTTGTGTTCTGCTTCCCCGGGCTCTGTGTGTGTGTCGTCCAGGAGAGACGCGATCTGCAGCTTGCGCTGATACCCTCTGTCGGATCTGCTCTTTCTCTCGCGAGTTTCTCGCACACGGAGGTTCTCGGCCGCTGGAGTTGCAGAAATTGGAACAAGTGAACTGGTGAAGCGTGTGATGAAGTGGACAAGTCAAGATCATCTTAAACTTCAGCGAAAACTTAGTTTGGTGGAAGTACTGCCATTGGGTTTTTTGGAGCCTAGCTTGGACGGTGCAAGCTTTCCCGAAGGTGCTGGTGCTGCTCTGCCCATGGGCCAACGTGGCGACCGCTTCGCACTCGGCTTTCTTGGATGCAACTTTGATTCCTTCTCCGCTCGTATCCTTCTCTCAGGAGGTGCCTGGAATAGCGCCGGTGAGACAGCGGCACAGCCGGAAGTTCATGGAACAAATGGACATCCTGCCGCCTTCAGGATGAGAAGAAAAAGGAGGACTGCTGTGCGACATTGTGTGGGGGGGGGGGGGTTCCTTTTTGACGCCGCGGGCACTGCCGGTCCGCTCGGTACAGCGTGAGCTGCAAGTGGAAAAATGCCCTCCGAGGTTTCTATCGAGCAGGCCATGTGGTCCTGGATCCATGGGAGATTGCGGTACAGTATCTCAGGACGTTGCATGATTGGCTAGATCTTTTCAGGGATTCAGGTTTTGCTTTGCGCTCTGCGATCTTCTGTGAAGGACATGGTTTACAATCGATATAACTGTGCCAGCCTCAGTATTCCAGGCGACATTGCCCGATGAAGCGGCAAGTGCACCAAGATGCTGCCGACGCCCCGCACGAGCAAAGCAATCGCAGCTGCCTGCTGTGCCTCCATCAGACTGACAACGGCACATCCGCCGCGCTGCGAAGCCATGCGAAGCCGACGGCTTGGCTTTCCTGAAACCTCCGAATTTCTTTGGCTTGGCTTTTCCGTCACCCGTCACCTCACTACTCAAGGAAGCCCCTGCAAAAAAAAAACTCTGAACCTGCATGCCTCTCGGCACAACTGCCAGCGAAAGACTTTCCCATCGGCAGATGTCCACCGGTGTGGCCAACTTCCATGCAGTCTAAATCTGTCGACTTCTCTGCTACCTTGCCCGGCTTGGCAGTCGCCACCTGGGCGACGCCAAGTGCCGTGGAACCGAGACTTTCTGTTCGACACGCGCGTACCTCTGGTGCTAGTTTGAATTTGTCTGAGTACTTCCCTTCCATGTGCGGTGGCAAGCACTCTCCTTTTATTGCAGGTTCTGGCATTGGATTGGTGTTTCCTAGCTCTGGATGCTGCATTCGTCAACGACAATGACGACGAAGGAGTTCTGCCGGCATGGTTGTGGCAATATTGTACGTCCGGGACTGGAGTCCAGAACACTCGATTTTGAAGCAGAGGGGCTGAGCCTTGCGCGTCGCGGCATTCAGTTGAGGACGACAGTGTTGCGGCCATGGAAGGGGTTAGAATTGCTCGGGCAGTCAGAGCTTGTGACAGGCGGGCAACAACTACCTCAGCTCCTCGGCTGGCAAGAGTGCTTCTTACTCTAGGTGTTTACCAAGAGTACTGCCAGTAGCATTGGTCTGTAGGGCCTTCACTCAAACTTGCCTTCAAGCCTCTGCACTGTCTTCGTGCGTCAATGCACCTTGGCATCTGGCATCCTTGGTTCGAACGGGGGTATTGACCCGGCACATTGCAAAAGTTCTGTATTCGAACTGAGGAATAGCGCGCATGCCAGCGACTCAATGCTTGAGAGGATCTGTCGGAAGGGTGTGGACATGTGGGGCCCCCCACATGAAGCGGTGCGGAACTTCTTATCGCTGCTCGAGGTCGCGTGGACTGAAGATCCTCAGGATCTTGCGCTTGGTGCGTCTGGCCAAGCTGTTGGAGTCTTAGCTTCTATATGAGATGTCCCGAAGTTGCACTACATCGGAAAGTTTTCTGCCGCGGTATGTGTCTGTGTCGCGTTGCCATGAACTGTCCAGACTAAAGCTGCCAGGTGTGCCCAGCTCCCGGTAACATGTTCATGGAAAGGCTTCCAAGCTGAAAACACGCCGGGGGGTGTTTGGGGAGCTATGGACGGGAGTCCAAAGGTGCCCAAGGCGGAGCAAGACTGCAAAAGAAAAGGAAACAAGGCAGTGACCCGCTCCACAGCTCGAAGATGTCGGAAGGAACGCAAGCAGTGATGGCGATACAACGGGGCTTTCACGCCAGGATGCTGCCGACTCGACTCGCAAGCAGGCACCAGACTCCATCTGCAAATACCGTACGGGCGCAGCCACGACCATGAGAAACTCGCTGGACAGCGCAGGGGCAACGATTGGTTTTGGTCTAGGAAGACCTTTACTCGAGTGTCGGCTTACCCACTACCGCAGAGATGTTGTAAGCCTCGTAAGCATGTGAATGCGTTTGAAAGTGACATGTACGCGTGATCGAATACACGACAAAGCAAGTGATGGACTTTGCAGACTTTGCATGTTTGCAGCAGATCTGCGAGGTTTCCCAAGTTCCACACCGCCACGCCCCCGGATGGGACACGTGTTTGGTCAGAGCGGGGCGAAAATCCCGCCGCTGTAATTTTGACGAGCTCTGCAGGCCATGTCCGAAAGGCTGTTGGGCCGAGTCGAGGGAAGCGAAGCGAAGCTGTAGGAATGGCCTGGTGAGTTTAGTGAAGTCTTCAAGGGTCCTCTGCATGATATTGTGAGCCCTACTCGTACCTGCCTCCCCGCAACTTACCGAAAGCCCATTCAATTTTGCGCAGCGCGCGAGACGGTGTCGTGGTTGTAGTGGCATGAGTAGGTCTGAACGTTGCTCGCATTGAGTTGGTATCGCCAAGCTTTCGAGCCAATTCCAAGATGGCATTGTCGTCTTCCCGCTTCGCCACCAGGGTAAAAAGCAGAGTATGCAGGCCTTTGTGGCGGTGCAATCGGATGCGGTGCGTCTCTCATTGGGGGCGCCATGGCCCCAGAGAATGCGGTATATGCGGTATAGACTGGGACCTTCCAGCGAGTTTGGGGTAAAGACGTTGTTTCCAGATTTATGCATGTGCTTAGCGTTTGTCGCCGTTTTCTGGTGGTGACTGCAACGGCAATCTGAGACGTCGTTTTCAGTTTCCGATGCTGCATGAATCACCTGGCCTTGCTGCACCCGTGTGTCAGGTGGTTTGCCGTCGTCATCGTTGTCGTCATGAACCACTATGCTCCTTTGTGCATTGTGGTAGAATGACTTTTCGTTGGCAATCCTCTTGGCAGCTGCAGTCGCAATCGCAGCTGCAAACTCGAACCAAAGGTTGCATGTGGCTGGTTTGCATTGGGCTACTGGGACACCACCGTGCCTCGGCTTCCTCGGTGTCACGTCACGTGCTGCAACTTCTGGACAATGCGCAAAGCCTCCAAGGCTGCCATCACATGGGTTGCAGCCTACGACCTAAATGGAGTTCTGGCCCCAGCGGTGCCATCCACACGAGTCTGTGCGTCTGTGTGCACTTCGGACTTTGGCAGAGCCTGAAGTGAGTCGAAATGCAGAGATCAATCGTTGTATTCTTGTTCGTGGATTGCCAGGACATGACTCCCTTCAAGGGCCAGCTTGGGTACCAGTACTTTACGCCGAGATCCAAGTCCCGGCAGTTTAAGGGAATCCAAATTTCCGAGGAAGAGTTTGACCTTGTACCTTGTATTTGTATGCTTTTTGGTTTCAGTGCTGGTTAATTTTGCTTTTGAGATTTACCGATTTTGCTTTTTAGCTTTTCGGCTTTTCTTATGCTCTTGCAGCTCTTTGCATTGCTTTTGCTGCTTTTTGGCTTTCTAGCCTTGCGAAACTTGAAATGAAAACCATTCTGCAATACCGCGATGAATCTATGCCAAGCCAGTCGGTCATTCGATCGTTGTGTCTGCAAGTCAGCATTGCAAAGCTTGCTCTGAAGCATGTAATGCAAGACCAAACCGGTAACTCGAGCGTTGTGCTTGCAAGTGTCTCGATTTCTTGGAGCCTTGCAACTCTGCCGCCCATAGGCCCACTTTTAGCCTGTACTGTGGCTGTTTAGGGAAGGGTTAGGGGGTTGGCTTAGGGATCCAGGTTTCAGCTTGAGCAAGAGTGTGTTTTGTGCCCGTGTGTGCGTGTGTGGGCGTGTGTGGTTGACTGTCTTTGCTGGGGAGTTGTGCCTGTACAAGACCGTATGCGTGATCACCAGTTGCCAGATTGCGTCAAGTCTCTTGGTTTTTTCTCAGTGTGTTCGGCTTTACGTATTCGGTGCACAGATTGTCTTCTTGGATCTTAGGGGGCATCCACCCAGGAGACTCAGGACACTGCGACTCAGGTGCAGGACCCGCAAAGAACCAAAGTGGCAAAGCCTGCCATGAAGAAGCTCATGCCGTCTTGATGAACCTATTCCAAGCCGGTCATTCAAGCATTGTGAGGGAGTCGAGGGGGTTGGGTGCCGACCCCGCCCACCCCCTGCTTTCGCATTCCCGTCAACAGAGGTGCTGTAACACTTCTGCCACTTTTCTGGTGAATACATGAACACCGGGCATGAAGAACCATCTGCAATACACCGAGAAATCATTTGCAATTCGGCATTGTGTTTGCATGTGCGGCAGGCTGCTCGCCTCACCTAGCCTTCCTCGATTTCTACCACCACCACCACCACCACCACTACCACTACCGCTACCGCTACCGCTACCACACTACTACTAAGAGCGTAGTGCACAATTGACGCCATGTTTTTCCTTACTT